GTATCTACATCCAAAACCTGTTCAACTCTGCAGATGACACACAGGCATGAAAAAATTCACCAAGTTAACCCCTTGGGTACGGATTTATTTGAGAAAATTTTTGCATGTGGAATGGATATAATTTTTGGTTGCAATTCATCAATAGCTACTTCACTTTAGGAGTATAAATGTAACAAAATTTAGTATTTAGGTAATCCACTATATTTCTAATCTTTCTTATTCTGTCATCTTTATTTTCCTCTTCATTATCCGTAAAATGTAGAAAGCTTGAAATATCAAAAGCCTATCCATTGTGTGCCATAGTGCAGGCAAAAATTGGAGTACTTATTGCATATCGTTTTGACCAATACATATGCATTTTTGGCTTCTTCATGTGTGACATCAAGATGCATAATGCAATATAAGCTTTCATTTAATCAGAACTTATGGAAACCACTCTTTCTTTTTTTTTTTTTTTACACAACCTTCTTTTTCTATCCCTTGTCTGGCATATCTATTCGTCTCTTTTACTATAGTGCCCCAAAAATCTTCATTCAAGACTTCTTTCAAAACATCTAAAGGCGTAGGATTACAGTCAAAAGTCGTTAATTCGGACACCCATAATCCGGAATGATCTATAATGCGGACCTCAAAGCTACAAACTTTCTGCGCATGCGTCGCGTTGAAGCATGTGCATAAGACTTTTACGTTTACACATGTGCGTTTAATGTATAACGGACGATATAAGCTAAAATTATCTAATTATCTATTTCAGTTAATGTTGCAGATTGCATTGTCCTTAATCTTCAAATTGGATCTGGCTTATTATCTTTTGCAGACTGTTAGAGCAATTTTATAAAAGTAAGCTTGAACTTTCGATTATGTCAAATAGAATTTCCGATGCTGGAGCTCCCAAAGTATCTACAAAGCGAAAGTATGTTTCGATGTCTATCAAACAAAAAGTGGAATTGCTGCAAAAAATGGATAAAGGCATATCCTTTGTTTTTCTAACCATTCCGAAATCTGTATCAATTTCATGCTGCTCTGCAGCGGAGGGGCAGGGGGGAACGCCGCGGCACGCAATGAATTGGAAGTTGATCTGTCAGCACTAGCCTTATTTTCAGGGCAGATATCTATTTTATTTGGCTTATAATTCCTTACGAAATGTAGTATTTCATCTCGATATACTCCGTCTTTGATATGATTTAAATCAAATTCCTCGTCATTATAATTCGCTTCCGATAGTGAAGAAAGTGACACAGAGGTTATTGAAAACGAAAAAATTTCGATTGACAAATTGGTCCGTATTCTCGGCACAGCAATTATAAGACTTGAACAGCGGAACTTTGTAACTGAACAAGAAATTATGTTTGTTTATAGAATTAAAGAGAAAGTATTAGCACATAAAACGAAGCAACTTAAAACAACTTACATTAAAAGAAATGTTTAATAAAGTAAACAAATAAATATTAAGCTTTTTTTTTTGTAAGTTTTGACACCCTTTAGATCATAATTGTTCTTTATTTCATAAATTACGGTTCCATATTTTTAATTTTATAATTTTTGCGTGCCATCTTACCAGATTTAAACTGATGATCTATAATCCGGAATCGCCAAAGTCCCGACGAGTCCGGATTAACGACTTTTGACTGTACTACCTAGTCTACACTGGCTTAAAGGATTAATTCCAGATATTTCAGAAAAACTTTTTATATTGGCTACATTTTCTTCTTCTTCCCAAATCCATTCCTCTGATACTGGTCACGAGAAAATTCACTATCACTGCTCGATAGACGTCTTGTGCGTCTTCGAAACCTTGATATTATATTACAATTGTCATCATTTTCTAATTCAATATCGTCTTCATCACCTTCGCTTTGTATTTCATTGTAATTGTCAATTTCAGGATCACTAAACAATTCTTCTTTAGATTTCTCAAAATCACTTTCACTATCACTATCACAAAATATATTCCTTATTTTTGACACAATGGGGCAGTGTATCGCGAATAATGTTCACTGAAATACTGTAATTGCCTCTTCTATTATGACTGATACAAGCTACAATGAAATGAACAGAATTGTGCATAACCTCAAATAACATTTTAGACATGTCATCCGCTCCTACTGAAAACAAGTGAATGTCGTCTCTCAGATTTCAAATGTACCCAAGAGTTTAATTTTTGGTTTGACGTCTTAGACACGTCAACCGCTACTAGGGGGGAAAAAGGGAATGACGTGTCTCAGACGTCAAATGTACCCAAGGGGTTAAGATGCTATGACGTTACCAAAACATTCAGGTTTGCATACTTATTTTAATTTGACAAGTATTTGAATATAATTGATGTATATGCACATTTTGTGCTGTAGAAATAACATTTTGACGAATGAATTGTGTCATGTTGAATCTGTAAATGTTACTTCCATTTCCTGAGGTAAAAAATTAAGCATTTTAATGCAGAAGAATTCAATATTCCCCCAAAATGAAAACTGACTATCTGCCCAAATGGAGTTGTCGCATCCCCTATTTTTCAATGTTGATACTAATTGGAAAAAACGCTCCCCCCCAAAAAAAACGATATTCGGCAAATATTTATTTATAATATGATAAAGTATGCACTTTTTTTTTTAATTCAGTGGAATTTTGAGGATGTATTCCATGCAGCAGCAGACTTTTGCAGTACTTTAATGCACTTTATATGCGATGATATACCAGTAAATTTGCTTATGTTAAAAGAATAGGAAGACATTTGTCAACAAACTGCCTTAAGATGATGGTAAAAGTTTTATAGGTTACAATTCAAAATTTTTTTTGATAATTTATAAAAATGGTTGATCTTTACATTATGGTAACTTGGCGATTTTTGGCTAAAATTTGGCAACCAACTCTCCTACAGCAACCCTCTATTTTTTTTTCCCCGCTGCCATTTTGTCTTCACGAAGTAAAGACATGTTTCTTTTCTTCTTATCTACTGAACACTTCTTCCAACAATCTACTAGCCGAATTACACCTATGCTAGAAATTTTATCAAACAAAACTGCTTAATCATGACAAATATTCACTGCAAAATTGGGAAAAAGTGAACAATACCATACTCCTTACGTGTTTTTCAAAATAACACATACACATAAACCATGTACACGTCGACTTATTAATATCCCAGAATTGCACAAAAATGGCATTGCGCACACTCTTCACTATATCCATGTACACTGCTTTTTTCTCATAAATTAGAAAAATTTCACGAAAATACATGACAATTTTCTCAATCTTTAAACCCGGTAAAAAGAACATATATGAAATTACTTGATCGCGAAAAAGTATTTACCCTTTACAATATGAACATTTCCACATATAAAATAAATAAAAATCCAAAGACTTTTACCTCTAAATCATCTATACATTATACACGTCACCAACGAATTCATACCGCAAGTATTAGAAATACTTAGTATCAAATATTTAAATTATTTCCATGCACGTTTATTTCAACTTAAACGTATACCAAATTCCTACAAACATAAAATTCACAAAATAACTATCATTTCATTAAATATAATTAATTCAAAAAACACTACTTAAAACATAAATGAGCACATACATTAAATTAAAAAAATTACCTTACATCCTAATTACTTTAAAACTTAAATCATTGTTAATAACAATTTTCCCAATAATACCAAATTCCTTCCTTTCCACCTTACATTTAGAACAATGCATAAAAATAATATCCTCAAATATTAAAAATATTAACTTACCTAATCTTCTTCAGAATCTTGATTACGTGGCGGATACACTTTTCTAATTCATTCAATAAAATTATTTAAAGATTTTTTCTGCGAATTTTTCCTCCATACTTCCTCCGCTAAATAAAAAAGCAAACTTCTCTTTATCACATGCCTAAATACCCATTTCAAATTCACTTGAGTTAGGGCATGGGATCCAAAAATTAAACAACACTGTTTCACACAACACAGAATAAAGCTAAATACAAAATTTCCACATTTTTTCCCGATTTCTCCCTCCCTTTCCGATTAAAGAACCGTAATTCGTCCATTAATATCACATGACATATCCCATGATCTCTCATTTCCCTCACGCAAAATAATGCGTAATCGGAACTGAGTACTGCTCACATTATTACCCAGGTAGTCCCAGGTAGTAACCTTTATCGCCTCCAAAATGTCGCCAAACTACCAGTTACCATATTGTAAAGATCAACCATAAAAATTATTTAAAAAATACAAATTAAAAAAAGCGCAAATTATATTAAGCCTAAATTTTGAATTTTGGATGAAAGAATCAAGTAAGTTTAATAAAAAATATATTAATAAATATATATCACATTCAATTAACATTGAGGAGCTAAAATTTTTCAAGCCAATTTTTTAAAAACTACTTGTGCGATTAACAAAACTTGGCAGTTTGGCATAATTTAAAATCGTGGAATCGAAATACAGAAAAAAATTGGCATGTCATATCAGAATATTCCAATTTTGTATCAAAATACCTATATTAAAACAATATAAATCTAATACAATAATATATAAATCTAATACATATCCTACATCGCACTTTTAAGACATGAGAATGCAAGTTGAATTTCGTCAATAGGCCCAGTAGAATGGGAGATAAAAAAGAACTGTCCAATATTGTTTTTTGCGCAGTGTACCTTTTATTTTTATAAGTCCACAATCTTTGCAAAAATAATGTATAATAAATGAAAAATAAAATTTCCTCATTTGCATGAGATTAAATATGCAGCTAGTTTAAAGAAAAAAGGAAGATGAAATACATTTTTTAGGTACTTAGTATTATCCTGTCGACTGTAGGTGAAAATTTCAGCAATGGTCTATTGTTACCATGGGATTCTAAAGGACATGATCACCCATACTTGTGCTACTAGGCCGGTCACCAAGATAATACATAAGTATCATTTTTTAATCCCCTGATTGGTAATGATCCCAGTATTTGTAGTTCTACTGTACATACATACAATGATATTTTTTTATATTACTTACCAGATAGCCAATAAAGAACAGGGCACCTTTTATTGGCTGCTTGTGGTGGAATATAAATTGAAAAATTCATCTCGCAGTTTAATTCCTGGCTTGTGTGACGGAAAACCTTTTGGAACCCTCCAAAACATTTTGAAGATGAGACTAATGTTGCTTTTGCCATAAAAACTGGAAAAAAAAAAGTGATTTATTGGTACTAATCAGTTTTGAGGACTGTAAAAAATTGTAGCGAAAATATACATGGAAAAGCACCAAATCTAGCAAACGCGCCCATTTAACAGCGTGCCAAATCTAGCGTACACGCTTATTTCAGTTTGTGTAACTTTATATAGTTCTATATTTCTTAAGATGCCACTGAAATATTAATTTAATTTTTAAATCCTTTTTTGACACCCTATGGATTTAATTGCGAATTGCCCCTGACGAAAAGTCTGCAATAGAATTTTTTCAAAAAAAAAAAAAAAAAAAAAAAAAGGCATCATTCATTATAGAAAATTATGTTTGAACAACTAACGAGATGAAATTATGCTTTAGCGATAATTCGGTAGCGAAATAGCGATGCAGGAATCCATTCAGTTATGTTTAGCTTTTTTTTATATAAATTATAATAATAAAAAAGCATTATATGAAATTAACCTTTCATATAAATTAAAACAATAATCTTTAGATAGTTATTTACTATTATTCTTCCTTTCTTGTGTTAGGGTTGCCGCAATTATTTTTGGCAGCACTGGCATGAACAACAGTTTGGCGGTTTTTCACGGCCCTCAAAACGGAATAGTACCGATTTATTTTATTATTATAGTAGAACACCGTATCTGAAAAAGAAAATTTTGATACCTTCCCATCAGTCATATTCCCCAAAAAGAAGTAAAATACTATGCAAAATAATGTATCCAGTAAACATTGTTTCTCTTTATAAATGATATCATGACTGTTTTGCTGTTTATATACATGTAAAAAATTTAATAAAAATTTTTAAAAATTAATTATCTTTCATACATATTTAATTCTACAAATCATCTCAGTATGTGAATCTCAAATCCTTACTTTCCATTCATTTTTAATCACATAATCAGTAAATCTCAATTTAACTTCAGCCTTCATATTCAAGAGCATATATGAGACACTGCACATACTAAGTGATTCAAATGCCAACAGTTACTTCAAAAAGAATTTGTCCTTTATTTGATTACCTAAACAATGCATCATTAAAAAACCTTAAACAATGAATTAGGTATGTTATTTGTACAATGCAAAAATTATGGAATGAAGATATGCCTCAGGCATGTTTCCAAAGAAATTAAATAGATTTATAGTACCATAAGAAAGCAAAAACATTTTAGATTCCATAGCATAGGTCAAAAAAGTATTTGACTTTTTCTCTAAAACAGGAACAAAAGAGAATTAATATTGTAATTAATATCCTGTAGAATGTCGCTTAGACTAAATAATGATGTTCAGTCTAGATGGCATAACAACTTTGTATTTTATAACATTCTTCATATTTTGGTTTAGCTTTGTGTTTGTAGTACCTTTATTTCTTATCCTTTGACCTAATTCTTCCCATAAATCTTCAGTTGGATTTATGTCTGGTGATTGTGGGTATGCTTCAAGTACTTTTGATGTGTTGGTGCAACAGCCAAAATCTGGTATTTACTGCTCTATGCTTCAAATCATTATTCTGTATGAATGCAAAAACCTGTCATTAATCCCATAAACTGAGCACTGGCATGTAAATTTGGAGTACCCTTTCTTGTGTGTTCTATTAATTGTGTTTTATTTAACGTTTTAATAGTTTAAAGTATAGCTACTGATTACATAGTGTGACATTATACAAATATCTCTCAGAAAAATTCCAGCTTTGTTATATTTCTTGTAATAAGAATAGATTATTAATTTTTTTAAATCTGACTTGTGTATTCAATCTATTATGAACACGTACGCACGCGGCACATTTTGGTGTCAGGAGTGGGGTTTGAATGCGAATAACAAGAGCGATGGAAGAGCAATTAGGACAGCTCGTGTCTGCCTTTGCTGCATTTCATCACAAAAAGATGGAAGGGGCCATCAGCTTGGTGAAAGTAGAGATGAAAGCTGGTCAATATTCCGTTAGAGAAGAGATGAAAGCTGTTAAAGTAGAAATGGAACTGAGTCAAGAATCAGTTGGTAGTAGTCAAGTAGAGATGAAAAGTGGTCAAGGAAAGACTGAAGCAGGTCAAGAAGAGATGAAAAGAGAAATTACCCACACAATAGAAAACAAATTTGAGGCTATGGAAAGCAGAACAGATATGGTTGAAAGTAAAGCTGGACAAATTGAAGAAAAAGTTTCTTCTGTGAAAGAACAAATAGAAGAGAGAGTTTCGTCTGTGGAAGAACATGATACATTACAGAGTTTCTTCTGTCAAAGAACAATTTGAAGGAAAAGTTTCTGCCGTTCAACAACAAATTGATGACAGGGTTTCTGCAGTAGCCAAAGAAGACAATACTTTAAAAAAATTCGTAGCAGGCGTGGGTAAAAATTCCGATGTTTCTAAATTTTTACCCATGTCTGCTCGTCTCTCACTGAAGCTATCCATGTGTGATGGGAAGACCTCTTGGCAAGTATATAAGGCACAATTTTTTATAGTGGTGGATGTGAACGGATGGGATTGCCAAGCTAAGGCCTGTCATCTTACATCTTCTATTAGAACAGACACAGCGGATATCCTTCAGACTCTTCCTGAAAACCAAATGCTAGATTTCAAAGCTCTGTCCAGTGCACTTTGTACTGCACTTTGGGAAGAATTGTTTGAAAGACTAAAATCCCATCAACAGAAGCCCACTGAAACACTCCAAGAGCTCGCCATAGGTGTTGAAAGGCTGGCCCACCTCATTTTTTCGGAGTGCCCAACAGAAGCAAGGGAAATCCTTTCCCTACAATACTTCATCAACAGTATCCGAGACTTTCAATACAGAAAGCTCCGTGAATGGCAGATGTCAAGGACATAAAAAGCCCTCTAGTGCATGCCATGAAATTCGACAGTCCAACAACTTGAAGAGATCGCCCCCCCCCATCAGAGCTGTACAAGTCTACGAGCCAGTGGATCAAGTAATGGCTTGTTTAGATGATTTATCCAGAAAAGTCAATGCTTTGATGTGGTGTAGGAGTGAGAACAAATTGGCTTTAAAGTGTTGGAAATGTGATACTGAAGGCCACAGCACAGACGGAAAATATAACAGATAATTTTATGAGACAAGTCAATGCCTTGAAATGGAACAGGAGTGAAAAAGAACCAATCCTGAAGTGCCGGAACTGCGGTTTCGAAGGCCACATACAAAGGAACTGCAGAACACCGCAGAGCACGGAAAATAAGACAGACTATTTAAACAGACAATTACCATATTTGATGGCATATAAGACACACCCTTATTTAGAAGGCCACGCACAAGAAAAAAAAGTTTCAATAATGCGGGCTCTTTTAGTTCTCACGTTTCGTAAAAGCCAAATAAACAATGAATTCAATTACCAAACATATTTTTATTAAGGAAAATTAACAAATGGCAAGCTATTTTGAACATGATATGTAAATTTCAATAATGAATAAATGAATGAACGGCAAGCAATCAAACATAATACAGTCAAAAGTCGTTAATTCAGACACCCATAATCCGGACCTCAAAGGTACAAACTTTCTGCGCATGCGTCGCGCGCGCAAGACCTTTATGGCTGCGAATATGCGTGCACAAAATATACTTATGAATGCGCGTTTAATGTATAATGGACGGTATAAGCTAAGCTAAAATTAGGCTGATCTTTGGAATATGGTAACTGGTAGTTTGGCGACATTTTGGAGGCGATAAAGGTTACTACCTAGGACTTTGTAATAATGTGAGAGATCTCAGTTCCGATTACGCATTATTTGTGTGAGGGAAAGAGACATCATGAGATATGTCATGTGACATTATGGCGAATTACAGTTCTTTAATAGGAAATGGGAGGAAATCTGGAAATTTTTGGATTTAGCTTATTCTGTGTTGGTGTGAAAAGTGTGGTTATTTTTTTGGATCCCCATGGTCCTACTAAAGTGAATTCGAAATGGTATTTGTGGGATTCAAATGGTAGTATAAGTGTTTTTTTAAGGTTGTGCGAGATAGAAGTAAGATGTTTTTTAAGTTATTATTTTCCTGTTACCTTGCTGTGAACTATAAGTGTGATTTAAAGACCTGAACAGGCGCACATTGCCGTGCTTTTTATTTAGCGGAGAAATAAGAAAAGTTTATCGGCCACGTACACGATTCTGAAGAAGATTAGGTAAAGTATTTTAATTAATTTGAGGATAATTTTTTTGATTGTTCTAAATGTAAGGAGTAAATAAAGTAATATGGGATTATTGAAATTTGTTATTAGCAATGATTTGTTTAAAGTAATTAGGATTGTAAGCTAATTTTTATTAATTTAATGCATGTGCTTATTTTTATTTGACGTAGTGTTTTTAATTTAATTATTTAATTAAATGATAGTTATTTGTGAATTATATGTTTGTAGATTTTGGTATACGTTTCAGTGGAAGTAAAGTGCATGGAAATAATTTAAATATTTGACACTAAGTATTGTAACCATTTGAATGTTTGAGTATGAATTCGTTGGTGACGTTTTATAATATACAGTCAAAAGTCGTTAATCCGGACTTCGGGACCGGCGATTCCGGATTATCGATTTTTCCGGATTATAGATCATCAGTTTTAAAATCTGGTAAGATGGCATGCAGAAATTACAAAATTAAAAATATGAAACCGTAATTTATGAAAAAAGAAAATTATGATCTAAAGGGTATCAAAATTTTACAAAAAGAAAAAGCTTAATATTTATTTGTTTACTTTATTAAACATTTCCTTCAATGTAAGTTGCTTCTCATTTCATGTGATAATACTTTCTCTTTAATTCTATTAAACAGACATAATTTCTTGTTTAGTTACAAAGTTCCGCTGTTCAAGTCCAAGTTGAGAATACAGACTAATTTGTCAATCGAAATGTTTTCGTTTTCAATAACCTCTGGGTCACTTTCTTCACTATCCGAAGCGAATTATAACCACAAGGAACTTGATTTAAATCATATCAAAGACAAGATGAAATACTACACTTAGTACAGAATTATAAACCAAATAAAATAAAAACATCTGCCCTGAAGATAAGGATAGTGCTGACAGATCAACTTCCAATCCCCAGCGTGAAATTGATAAACAGATTTCGGATTTCAAAACATACTTTCGCTTTGTAGATACAAATTACGAATTAGTAAATATATATCGGAAATTCTATTTGACATAATCTTTCTAATCTATCATAATCTAATAATGACGTTTTCTGCCCCACCCCCCTCTGCGGCAGAGCAGCGTGAAATTGATAAACAGATTTTGGATTTCAAAACATACTTTCGCTTTGTAGTAAATATATATCGGAAATTCTATTGACATAATCGAAAGTTCAAGCTTACTTTTATAAAAATTGCTCTAACAGTCTGCAAAAAATAATAAGCCGGATCCAATTCGAAGATTAAGGAACAACGCAATCTGCAACATGAACTGAATTAGATAACTTTAGCTTAGCGTATAACTCCCTTACACATTAAACGCGCATACGCACAAACATATTCGCAGCTGTAAGGGTCTTATGCGCTCTTGTAAACGCCTGTGCGCATGTGTAAACGCGACGCATGCGCAGAAAGTTTGTAGCTTTGAGGTCCGGATTATAGATCATTCCGGATTATGGGTGTCCGAATTAATGACTTTTGACTGTAGATAATTTAGAGGTAAAAGTTTTTGGATATTTTATTTATTTTATACGTGGAAATGTTCATCTTTGGAAAGGGTATATGCAAGCTGAAGGTATAAAAGCTTGCATAGTATACATACTTTTTTGCGATCAGGTAATTTCATACACGTCCTTTTTACCGACTTCAAAGATTCACAAAATTTTAATTAATGCATTTTCGTGAATTTTTCTAATTTATGAGAAAAAAAGCAGTGTACATGGATATAGTTGCAGATGTGCGCAATGCCATTTTGTGCATTCTGGATTTTTATTAAAAAAATAAGTCGACGTGTACATGGTTTAGTGATTTTAATAATGTTTTTTTGTGAATTTTATTTTTGTAGGAATTTTGGTATACGTTTCAGTTGAAGTAACGTGCATGAAATAATTTAAATATTTGGACCTAATATTTTAACCATTTATGAATTCGTTCGGTATAAATTCGTTGGTGACGTTTATAATAATAGATAATTTAGAGGTAAAGTTTTGGATTTTATTTATTTTATACGTGAAATGTTCATCCTTGGAAAGGGTATATACTTTTTTGCGATCAGGTAATTTCATATATGTGCTTTTTACCGAGTTTAAAGATTCACAGAATTTTTTTGCATTTCGTGCAAATTTTTGTAATTATGAGAAAATAGCAGTGTAGATGGATAAAGTTAAGAGTGTGTGCAATGCCATTTTGTTGTGCAATTCTGGGATGTTTTTTTAAGTAAAAATAAGTCGACTTAAATGGTTTATGCGTATGTGCTATTCTGAAAAATGCACAAGGAGTTTGCTATTGTGCACTTTTTCCCAATTTTGCAGTTAATATTTGTCATGATTAAGCAGTTTTTGTTACATAAAATTTCTAGCATAAGTTAATACGACTAGTAGATTGTTGGAAAAAGTGTTCAGTAAATAAAAAAGAAAAATGTCTTTACTTCGTGAAGACAAAAACGGCGGCGAAAAAAAAAAATATAGGGTTGCTGTAGCAGAGTTGGTCGCCAAATTTTCGCCAAGTTACCATAATCCAAAGATCAATCCTAAATGATATATTCAGTTAATGCTGCAGATTGCGATGTTCCTTAATCTTCGAATTGGATCCGGCTTATATTTTTTGCAGACTGTTAAAAGCATTTTATAAAAGTAGCTTGAACTTTCGATTATGTCAAATAGAATTTCTGATATATTTTACTAATATGTAAAGGATCTACAAAGCGAAAGTATGTTTCGAAGTCCATTAAACAAAAAGTGGAATTACTGCAAAAAATGGATAAAGGATAATGGATTTGGTTACCTAACCATTCCAAAATCTGTTTATCAATTTCACGCTGCTCTGCGGCCAAGAAGGGGGAGGGGGGAATGTCGTGGCGTGCAATGAACTGGAAGTTGATCTGTCAGCACTATCCTTATCTTCAAAGCAGATGTTTTTATTTTATTTGGCTTATAATTTCTTACTAAATGTAGTATTTCATCTCGATGTACTCTGTCTTTGATATGATTTAAATCAAATTCCTCGTCATTATAATTCGCTTACGATAGCGAAGAAAGCAACACAGAGGTCGCTTTCTTCGAAAACTAAAGAATTTCTACTGACAAATTAGTCGGTATTCTCGACAGGCAATTATAGGACTTGAACAGCGGAACTTTGTAACTGAAGAAGAAATTATGTCTGTTTATGGAATTAAAGAGAAAGTATTATCACATAAAAAACAAAGCAACTTAACAACTTACATTGAAAAATGTTTGATAAAGTAAACAATAAAAATACCAAGCTTTTTTTTTTGTAAATTTTGATACCCTTTAGATCATAATTGTTCTTTATTTCATAATTACTTTATATTTTTATTTTTTTTTTTCTGCATGCCATCTTACCAGAGTGTTGTTTTTGTGCACATTGATAAGCCTTGCCTTTTCATGAACCTGTAGTACCAGCCCTCAGACCCTAAAAAGTTCCGATTCCCATGCTTTCCTGCAAATTCTTTGGCCTTATTGATTATCATTTTGGCTGAAACACTTATCCCAGATTTCCTCTTATCTATCACCCACATTTTTACCGCATTTTCAAGTTCAGGCCAAGATGGAGCTGGGCATTGAAGGTTATGTTTTTGTTTTTTAGCAGTCTTCAGTTGATCTTCCTGCAGACGCCAAGTACATATCATTTTTTCGATAGGTGGTGAACCGAAATGCCTTGCTGCTGCTGTTTCCATGCACTTTGGCATAGTTTAACACTCCTAGTTTATACTGAATTGTATAGCTTAATCTCGTTTTCTGTAGTCATATTTTCCAGGGTATTTTTTTTAAACAAACAGTTTTAAGCAACGATACGACACGTTTATACAGAGTAGCACCGATACTGACATGTGTGTCAGCTGAGTCAAAGAAAGTCTACGTAAAGAAAGACTTCATAGACGTAATGTGACTGTCAAACCTCTTCATACTTCGATATCAGCTTCGAGCTTCGGTGCTTTTTAGCGACAGATATTACACGCATGCGCAAAATAATTATGGCAGATGTAGAAAACGTTATGTGTGTCTAGACCTTTATCCGGGCTACAAATAGCATTCAATATTGAAAGTTAACCTGTGTCCTTTCCGTATAAGACACAGGTAACTTTTTGGAGACCAAATTTAGGAAAAAAAAGTGCGTCTTATATGCCGTCAAATACGATAATTCTCTCTAAATGTGTTCTATTGGGTTTAAATCTAGTTACTAAGGTGGTGTTTTCAGAACTTGTGAACAATTATAGACATCCAAAAGGCGAACGTTGAGGGCCATGTGGTGGGATGTTTTTTCAAGTGAAAATAGGTCGATGTGCACATGGATACCAAGTATGTGCAATTCTTAAAAACATGCCAAGCAGTGGGTGATTCTGCACTTTCCCTAAATTTAATTCAATGCAAATTAATTTTTTGCTTAAAAACATTGAATACATTTTTGCTAAAAACTATTGATCAATATACCATTTTCTTTTTTCTCTTTATTCTTCTAAATCCAACTGGCAAGAAGAAATGCATGTCTCTACACAAATTCCAAACAACAGATTTTTCCTATGATAATTTCAAAAAGAAAAACGGTTGTTTAGGATATTTTGTTTAAAAAATAGGGTAAAATACAGTGCAGCCTTGGCCCAATATTAAAAATTATCGCCAACACCAAAAATGACCCAAAGAACGTCTATGTATATATTATACACTGTATACTATGTGCACCGAATACCAGGATTAAACCAAAAAGAGAAACGTATCTGTAGATTGTTACAAAAAATACACATTTTTCTGGTGGCCTATTTGACAGTCTATTTAGCAGATTGCCCTAAAAACTCCATTTGAAAGATTAAGAAGAGACAGTATTTAAAATAATATTTTAAAAGATGTATATTCTTAATAAATTTAAAAGGCATTTACTAAAAGTCTGCATTCTCAAAATGGTGTAACCAAAAATATCGCATTAAATTTAAATTCATAAATGCATGGTTCATATGACGACTGCACATGTCAAAGATAATGAAACATGTTTTTATACTTTTACTGACTGTTTTGCTTTCTTAAAATATAAAGCTAAATACAACAGTACAAACAGAACGGCGTGACTTGAATGAAAAGCACAAAAAAAGCACCCATTCATCATAGCACATACATGAATTGAAGTCTAAATTTTTACAGTGTATCTACAACTCATTGCAACTATGAAATTTACTAAATGTACATACCTAACGTTCGATGCACTAATTTTAAAATCTCATATAACACACGCTAAACGCTTCCACCGTAATGAGCAAGTTTTTAAATCGCACGTGATCTTAAACTTTAAAAATATCGATAGAGCACGTGATTAATCTCCAAGTGAATAATATTTAATACACTCTGATTCACAACCAATCAAATTCAGTATTTTACCAGTGTTTAGGTTTTTTTATAGGTTTCGAATTTAAACGCTTGCAGACAGGAATATGTCTAAATTTGATTGGATAATCTGCGCTCAATCCCGGAACGAATGTAGGCGCTCAATCCCGGAACGAATGCTGGAAGAGTCAAAGATTTGTAGGTATGGTAAAGTGGGAATTAGTCAAAAATCCGTATTATCCACCTTAAACCAGAAATTTTATCTGAAAAGAAAATTTCTTTGAAGTTGAAAGAAAAGTTTCGGAATTGTTAGAAGTGCAAAACAGGATGCAAATAGTTTATTTTTTTTATAGTTTATTAATATTTCTAATATCATATTTTTTGTTCATTTTAGTAATCAGTGGTAATTATAGTTTATTATTAAATTATATATACATAGAAAAATCATTATTATAGTGAAAGCATAAATTAAATAGAGTTATGACTTTTGGATAGGGAAAAAAATTTCTTTTCTTTTTTAATTTCGATTGTTACTTTATTAAGCGCTAAAAACTTTAGATTTTTTACTTGTTTATTAACTGTATTCTAAGAGCGTGTTGACCAGCAACATTGTAAAGGAAAAAAAAAAAAAAAGATTTGCAATTTTGAGTTGAGGGGGGTGAACACTTCTTTTGAATAGGGAAAAATTGATGCTATAGGGAAAATTGTATGGGAAGACCAAAGGGAAGCTGTCATGTAAACGTAAATGTTGGGGTTGAAGTTCCAATGATTGAAGAATCCGAAATGAAATTGAATCAGAATTATTCAAAATCTTTCATCATATCTTCCGGTGCAGTTTATCAGAAACAATCTTATTATTTGTACATTACGTTATCTTCAGTGTTACTGTTTCTTGTACTAATTTTCTGGCTTTCCATTCCAAGTAAACAATGCCTCTTTTTTATTGATAATCAGCTTAGATTATGTTTATTTTATATGGATTTTCTTACTTTTTAATTATTATACTGAGTAGTTAAGTAATTAAATGTTTTTGAGTTATAATACATATGTGTAACTTAAGAAATTCAACGTGACCTGCTTGAGTGCATCTCTCATAGTTGTATGTAAATTAACTAAATGGGGATGTAAAATTTCTGCTTCGTCTAATTGTGAAATGATGGGAAAAAATGTTGTGCTGGAGATATCTTTCTGTTTTTCATCTTTAATCCTCGCGAATCAGTTTTACTCAGAAGTTACAAGTTCTTGAATATTATGAAAAAGTGCATATATTGGTACTTTTCCATCACCAATTACCTCACCTTTACCTCAGAAAAGTTTTAATGCTAAGCTTCAGAAAGTTACCAAATATTATGTGTAGTCAAAAGGATAAATTACTAGATATCTCCCAAGTAAATCATTTGACATGTTTTGACACATATCAAATATGGTGTTTCTGTTGAGGAAGTACTCACATCTCTTTATATGTTTACCATATAACTTGTTAACATTTAGTGTTTCATTTGCATTATACAAGTACCCACATAATATGTATTATGGGTGTTACTTCTAAGGGAGGTGTTGCTGCATGAAATGGAGGAAGTTCATGAGCTTAGCTACTGGTAGGTACAATCCTAGGCATGAAGGCTTTTCCAGTATGCTAAACTAAAGCATAGCAGCTGAAGCAGACTTCATCCATTGGAGCCTGGAATCCACAAAGTTCAAGGAATTCTGTTTTGTACAAAACATGTGCCAAAAAGTTTTAATTTTTAAAGACTGAATTCAAAAATGTTTCAATTATGTCATCTATCGAAGAGGAGCTGTCTCTGTTTTTGTCCTCCCTTTTAACTGATGCTTAGAAAGTAGCGGCCGAATTACAGATGGGACCTTGAGTGACTCAGTACTAAAGTAAATTGCCAATGTTATCCCTGAGTGAGCATCCCCAAATTTTACAAAAATTTGCCTGCTTCCCTCTTATAAAGCTACAAATTGGCATCATGCCTGATTTCCATGTTCGATAGTACATACTATAGATAGAACAACTTTTCTGAACTTATTAAAAGGATTGTGTTCACAGTAAGATCTGTATTAATGCCTTCAGACATCTGAAACTGGTTGCAGGAAAAACAAGATGCGATATGTTGGGAAAGAAATGTTAGGTATTTATACCCCCGTGGATTTCCTTACATTCCTTCTATTTTTTGAAGAACTGCAGTACTAGGTACATTTTTATGTATTTATTCACTTTTTCAAATAAATATGAAAATGGCCTTTCTCTCCCCCTTTTTACAGCTCACACTAATGTACACTGATGACTATTTGGTCCACTTTAGATACTGAGTTTGATTTGTTTGATTTATATCAGTACCATTCACAACTATAAAGCGTTTTGCTGCTTGATGTGCTATATGTGTCCTATACTGCTGCTTGATCTGCATTTTGCTGCTATATGTGTCTTATACATTTTGGTGCTAGTTTGCTTTTAATCCTTTAAACACACAATTTTATGTCTGTATTCAGATTTTTCATGTTTGCCAAGTGATTTCTTGTAGAATTATGGTGAAAAGCACCATTCTATGCTTAAAATTTGCACACTACTGTAGTATAACTGTGTATTCTGTTAAGTTGATTAACATTTTGTTAGGCGAATATTTTTAATTTATGTATAAATTCTGATCTCTTTTAGATCCAGTATATAAAATATTGAAAAGTGTTGTTGCTGGTCTATTACTGATCTATTATTCTTGGGAAATAATTTATTTTGATAGCATCATGCCTGGAATTCACCCATCTTCGCCTTTATCTCCTTCAAGTATCAAGTAAGCAACTTTACCAATTTCTTTTACATCTTACTTTTGTCCATTTTAGTAATCAGTTTTAGTTATAGTTTATTATTAAATTTTTTATGCACAGAAAAATCCATGCTATAATAAAAGAGTACAAATTAAATATAGTTAGTTTCCAAAATAAATCTTATTGACTTTAGTTGATTTGCAAAATAGGTACAACTCTAATATACGCCCTAATTTCACCAAATGTGGCGATATGTGTTCTGCGCTGGTTTTTGGCACGATTTCGTGTTCTATGGCAAACCCGTTGACATTTGAAAAAATTTCCTCGAGCCGTTGGTTCGCCTCTGTGTCTGAGAAGATGGGAGCGAAAGATAAAATGGTAGTTATGAATTGAAATTCGGCAAAAGGAATATATGATTGTGGATTGAGGGGTGTTAGGGGTATTGGGTATTTGGAAGTGTGGAAGAGGGTCTGGGAGATTATTTTTAATGGCAGTAACATGATAAAAGTAGGGATTGTGATTTTTATTTATGGTTTGATCTTTACATTATGGAACTTGGTGTTTTTTTTTTTTGGCGAAAATTTGGCGACCAACTCTCCTACAGCAACCCTCTATTTTTTTTTTTCCCGCCGCCATTTTGTGTCTTCACGAAGTAAGTAAAGACATGTTTTTTTCTTTTTCTCTACTGAACACTTCTTCCAACAATCTACTAGCCGAATTACCTTATGCTAGAAATTTTTCTCTAACAAACTGCTTAATCATGACAAATATTCACTGCAAAATTCGGAAAAGTGCACAATACCATACTCCTTACGCGTTTTTCAAAAAACACATACACATAAACCATGTTACACGCCGACTTATTTTACTTAAAAAAAACATCCCAGAATTGCACAAAAATGGCATTGCGCACATTCTTCACTATATCCATGTACCCTGCTTTTTCTCATAAATTAGAAAAATTTCATGAAAAATACATGACAATTTTCTCAATCTTTAAACCCGGTAAAAAGAAATATATGAAATACTGATCGCCGAAAAAGTATTTACCCTTCCAAATATGAACACATTTCCACATATGAAAATAAATAAAATATCCAAAAACTTTTACCTCTAAATCATCTATTATTATACACGTCACCAACGAATTCATACCCTCAAGCATTACAATATTTAGTATCAAATATTTAAATTATTCCATGCCCATTACTTCAACTTAAACGTATACCAAATTCCTACAAAAAAAAATCACAAATAACTATCATTTAATTAAAATATCACTAAACCATGTACACGCCGACTTATTTTTACTTAAAAAAACATCCCAGAATTGCACAAAAATGGCATTGCGCACACCCTTCACTATATCCATTACACTGCTTTTTTCTCATAAATAGAAAAATTTCACGAAAATACATGACAATTTCGCAATCTTTAACCCGGTAAAAAGAAACATAATGAAATTACCTGATCGCAAAAAAGTATTTACCCTTTACAAATAAAACATTTCCTATAAAATAAATAAAAATCCAAAGACTTTTACCTCTAAATCATCTATTACATATACACGTCACCAACGAATTCAACCGCAACATTACAAATACTTATGTCAGATTTTTAAATTATTCCATGCACGTATAGTTAAACTAAAATAACCAATCCTACAAACATAAAATTCACCAAAATAACTTCATTTAATTAAAAATAAATTAAATCAAACACACTTAAAATATAAATGAGCAATACATAAATTAATATAATAAATACCCATTTCGAATAACTTTAGTTACGGCCATGGGATCCAAATCTGAACACTGTTTCACACAACACAGAAAAAGCCAAATACAAAAATTTCCATTTTTTTCCTGATTTCCCCCTTTTTCCGTTAAAGAACCGTAATTCGTCCATTAATATCACATGAAATCCCTGTTCAATTCCTCACACAAAAAAGGTAATCGGAAAGTACTGCTCACATTATCCAAAGTGCCAGGTAGGTAGTACCTTTACGCCTCCAAAATGTCGCGAAACTACCAGTTACCATATTGTAAAGATCAACCTTATTATTTGTGAAACCGTAGTATAAATTTTATAGTGTGTCTGGCTGTCGTGTAATACGATATGATTAGTGGCGGTATGAAATTATTTTGCTATTCGAAAACATATTAATTCATGGTAAGTGCATTTTATTTATCCTTGTTCTTATTGTAGAATGTGTTCATTGGTTCTTAGTATGAATTTCTGTCGATTGTTGTTTTTTTTAAATTGTTTGAAATTTATTTTAGTTTATTTTGTTGTTTAGTGTCTAGGACTGTACAATTTGTAGATGTTTTTTAAAGTTGAAACGAACGCGGTACATGGTATATTTTGA